CTAGTCAACCAGTTGCCTCAGCTGCTGCTGGTCCTCCCGCTGCTGCTGCTGCTGCTGCTGCTGCTGCTGCATGCGGCGCGAGCCATGCCGCCCGAACGGTAAACCAGGAGATAAGATCAAATATTGAAATAAATCCACAGCTTTCGATTCTTTAAACTGCTAACAAAGGTGTACATACACCGCAACTTGTGCATAAACAGCTGCTGCCATTCTCCTCCTTTGCTGTTCCTGTCTCGGGGCGCCGCGGCAGCCTTGCGGCCCCCTTGGCTCGGGCTATAGCTGTTTGAGTATTTTTGTGGTTTTGTTCTTTTTAGAATAATTTAAATTCATTTATTTCTCTTTTATAGATCTAGGTGTGAAACAAGGACTTATTTTAATGCAGCTTAAGCCGCCCATCCTATACAACTCAAAGACTAGCAGGATGCAGGCAGCCGCGGAAACACAGTGACAAGCCAGCGTCATTCTTGTTGATTGATTACCCTTTGTTGCAATAAAACCCGAAATACTGTTTATAATACCAATAACAATAGAGTCAAACACTATACGCTGCAGTTTCTACAGGAAACTTGAACTTCTCTCTGAGCCCTATGCAACCCCAGGCAACATATATAGGCCTTGGTGCCGCGGGGGAGAGGAGGNGAACTTCTCTCTGAGCCCTATGCAACCCCAGGCAACATATATAGGCCTTGGTGCCGCGGGGGAGAGGAGGCAGTTCAGGAAAAGTTGCAACGCACATCGTTGCAGGGCTGGGTGCAGAGCAACCCTGCATGCAAGCACGCCCGAGCCACCTCGGCTGCATGCACGAACGGTAGCTTTCTACATGCACGCACGGATCGGCACAGATGCCTACATCGTACAGAACATATACTACTGCGATCGGTGCTGTTGAGTCTGCTTTTGCAGCTACTTTATTCAGCTTGCTACTGAGATTTTGCTTACTCATCTCGCCGTGGTGCTTGCCCTTCTTGCTACTGTAGGCCAGATGCAACTACTGCAGCAGCTGCAAGGAACGTAAACACTGGGGAGATCCACAGGGGAGGGCACAAAGGGCTGCTGAGGTGTATCCAGGAAACATATAAGTAAAATTAGTGCAATAATTCACGATAAGGTGAAGGGACTTCGGCTGCCGCCAGCAGAACGGGTTTCCGCTGTAGCACCTTCTGTTGCTGCTGCCCCGATGCACCTGCAGCATCAGTTGCGTTCGCACCTTCTGTTGCTGTTCCTGCTGCTGCTGCGACGGTTATCGCTTCGCCTAGTGCAGCAGCATCGGCAGCAACAGCAAGACCAAAACATATGCGGCTGCTTTGCAAGCCAGCAAGCACCACCAGGGTGTTGTTGAACTTGGTTTCAATCTAAGTGGTGCTGCAAATGATGACACTTGCAGTTGCTGTCGCACTGTCGATCAGGGGGCGTACATACTCTTGTGTGTTTGCTGCTAGCAAACGATTCTTAGAATTTCTCTCGGGCTGCTCGGGTGTATCGTCGGCATCGGTTGTTCAGAAGTTACAGGATGCGGGTACGGGGTGTATGCGCTGGATGCCGAAGAGGTTTCAGGCCTTTACGCTTTCGCTTTGTGTTTAATGCTTAAGGAAAATAAC